TCAAACGCGTGCCGTATCGCTTTCCGACGTGACCGAGAACTTTGTTGTGGGGAGCAAAGGTCATGACAGCAGAGGATCCAAAAGCGAAGGAGATGGGGGAAGGACGCGTGCGGGGTGCAGCGGTCCGGGGAGGAAAAGGTGCAGCCGGGCTGGGCGGGGACACAGCCACTGGAACAAGACAAACGACAACAACTGAGTCGGCACAAAAATGGCAAACGCGTGCACGAGCAACGGCGTCCGTTCCGCTCACGGCGCGTGAAGCATCCGGCAGCCGCTTGCACGTCGGCGCGGCTCTGATACGCGGGAGGTGAGTGCTGATCAGCCGCAGGTGCGGCAACACCTGCGGCTGATCAGCAGGAAAAACACACCCAAGGTCCCCGGAAGTGGACCCTCCAAAATAAAAGCGACTCTGTGACGACACATCACAAACTTTTTCGGCACGGTCGCACAGACCAGGGAATGGTCGCCGGTCCACGTCAGGGCACGCCACGACAAACACCGGAGTGGTCGCCGAACGCCAGCGAGATGATTTTTCTTTTGATGCGGGCGGCCTCCTATTTGGTGCTGCGGCCGAGCCTTTTCTTATCCCGCGCGCTCGGCATGCGCGCGTGCCCCCCGACCCCCCGCGACCCTCCCCGTCCCGCCGCCATGAAAGGGGGGTGACGGCGGAGGGGCGCACGACGGCGGAGAAAGGACGCTCTGTGGCCGTCAGAGGAGCGTGAAGGGGCCTCTGTTCGAGCGAACGGGCCGCGCTCGGTCCGAGAGACACTTGGCGAGCGACTCGCCTCGTTACTCATCAAGTTGAACTCTGGATTCCTTCGCGAGGAAGTCGTTTGGTGCCGAAATCCCGTTTTTGGCCTGCTGGCTGACGCACACCAGGCGGAGGTGGAGGTGGGCTCCCAATTGGGCCCCCAGTTGGGCTCTCGTGGCTTTTTTGCTCCTTGTTGTTGTTGTCAGTCGGGATGGGCAAGTATCCATTTGGACGTCTCGGGGGCCTCGACGGGGCAAATGTGTCCTCCTTGCCAGTAGTTGGCGCTACACCGTGGCAAGTTTGACACTCGAGTGCATTGATGAAGTCGCGTTTCGGGGATTCAAACTGCTGGTTTCCGAACCTTTCTTTTCATGTATTGGAATGCGCGACACATTTGGACTCATTGAAATGAGGAATTACGATTTCACTACTTTTGTCGATGGCGTCCATGCGGCGATCGTGTTGAAAGTGCGCATGGCGTAGGTCGCCTGGTGGCTAGCCAACTGCGTTTTGTTTTTTCAGGTGGTAAAAGTTGGGGTGGTAGCACGCTCGGTGAAGATAAAGAAGATCTGCCCGTGACATTTTCTCTCTCTAGCGTTTGTGTTGAAATACGCGTCGCTTCTAAAGGGTGGATGTGAAGCGTCTTTTCGGGCATCATCGCCGGGCCCTTTTCAACAAATGTTTTGTGGAGTCAACGGCAGCCGGGGGCGGCCGATGGCGGCTTCCATGGCCACGCGTGGTTCCTGGCCTGCCAAACCGCCGCTCGCTTGTGTCCGGCGCCGGAATCTCAAGTTGGCACGCGCGAGTCAAAGCGCTCCATTTGGGTTTTTTCGAACGGCGCCACGCAAAGCGGTTGGAACTACCGCTGAGATTATTTTTAGGTTCAACAGGAGTACGGCGCGTCGTGTTTCCTCGAGGTGTGTGTGCACGTGTGCTGGTGTTGTTGTTGTTGTTGTTGTTGTTGTTGTCCCGGTGTGCTGGGCGCACTGATCCCGTTGATGGATTGAACGCAACATCCACGGTGAGAGAGAGAGAGCGCGAGTGTGCACCTACTCAGCTCATCAACAACTTCAGAGCTTTAAGCCTCTTGACACACTCAGGACAAAGGTCAGAGGTCAAGGTGCTGGCCCGCCGCCCGCTCCAAGTTCACAGCGGGAGAAAGAAAGAAATTTGTTGGAAGCGGGCCCGAACCGGTGACAATTTGTTTTCTTTTTTTTTATTTGTGGGGGCGGGGTCACTGAAAATACGTGTGACGGCTGCACCCAGATGTCTTGAGCTTGTCCAAAAAGAAAAAAAAAAAAAGCGAACTGCCGGTTGAAGGTGACGTGCTCGGTGAACCGGAGCGAAAGCAAACGATGGGCCCTGGCCTCGCACGCCTCGCACGCCTTTTACAGGCCCCATGCGGCCACGCTTCACGAGCAAAAAGCGCGTGAAGAAAAGATTGCAATCGGCTGCCATTTTCCACGGGCCGCGCGGCGGTCGACCGGCGAGCGCGTCTCGCGAGACGAGCGGAGAGCGCCACGGCAACGCGGTCGGGAGACGGGCCTCGAAGGCGCGACATCGCGTTGAAAGGAGCGCGACGTGACTTTTGCGGGCGCTTTGTTTTCAAACGTGCCCCGGCTGACATTTGTTTGCGGCGCTCCACTTTGCTCTCAAGGAGCGCCGAATGACATCAAAGGAAGGGAGGGAAGATGACCGTGATGATGTCACGGCGTTGAGGGGCTCGCCGTCCGACCGGCGCACGGGCGCGCCATCGCCACCACGAGCGGCCAGTCGCTCACGCGGCCATCAACTGGGTCATCGCTGACTTACGCGGCGTGCTGATGTTAGCGTCACCCCGGCTCAGGGTTGCGCCGCAGAGGGGCGGGGGCGGGGGGGCCGGATCTCAAAACGGTCGGGGAACGTCAATCCCCTCGAAATTGGCCGCTCTCCCGACGTGGGATTAGCGACGCACTAAAGCCGGCGCGCTAAAAGGGCGGGCGGGCGGCGACGCCGAGCCGGCGCTCAGCTAAGCCGCTCGACGACAACGGCAACAGAAGCACGCGTGACTCCCTTCAAATATGTCGGCAATTAGCAAGATGCTGAAAAGTCCCGTCAACAAACATTGTTCACCTTCGATCGGCGGCCAATGAGCCGTCGCGTTGCGCTCCCGGGAGACGAGCTTCGCCGCATCTGATGGACGGGCTGGAAATCCAAAACGGAAGGAGGACATGAATTGTTTTTTTTTTTGAAAATTCAGCCTTCGCGGCCACTTGGGCTGAGCGCCGTTTCGACCACGACGAGCAGGCGCAGCCAAAATGATGTGGCAAGGCGGCCATTGCGCTTTGAAGCCGCCGTTGACGGCTCCGTTGCCTTTGTGCGCCCAGCGGGCTTTGCCATCTTTTTCATTTGACTTCTTTTTTTTTTTCAACTGCGCTCTTTTTAGCTTTCGGAGCGGCTTAGGTCAGACATGTCCAGCTGCAGGCCCGGAGGGCCACCCACCGTCCTGCCCGTTTTCCAGCTCTGCCGCCCGCAACGCGCCTGATTCCGATGAGCAGCTCCTCAGCCAGCTCTGAAGCGCCATTCGAACCATCCTGATGATTTGAATCAGGTGTGTTGCTCCTGGGAGAGCTGGAAAAAAGGCGGGACGGGACGGCGGCCCGCGAGGACCCACTTTGGACACCCCTGGCTTAGCTTGTTTGGATTGGGATCAAAAATGCTTCCTTTTAGCTTCGTTTTAGCTTAGTTTTAGTGTTAGCTTTTTGAGATATCCGTCTATCTGTGCGTGCGTGTGTGTGTACATTGGACGTTGGACCGAGCAGAGGGAGGGAAATTTGCTTGACGCATCTCTCACAAGTGGACCCCCCCCAAAAAAGAGTCACACAAAGTGGGCCCTTTGGGTCGCCATTTTAGGCCCAACGGACTCCGTTGCGCCCGACTGGATGAGACAAGACAAAAATGGTACCAGCGTGGCCGCGTGCCCCAGTTGAAATGGCATCAAGTCCCGTTTCCATGTGCCGCGCTCCGGTGGCTCTTCTTCTGCCGGCTCACTTTGAGGATCGGACACGCTCGCGCGCGGGTCCCAGAGCGCCGGTCGCGGTCCAGCGAAGGCGCGGCGTGTGAAACCAGGCCGTCTCCCTTTTGCGGAGGCGCGTTCAGCTTCCGGAACGCCGGGAGCCCGACGCAGGCGCCCCGCTCCCACTTTTGGGTGGTCTCTAACCAACGCCTTCCATTTTCCAAATTTCAGCCGCAGCGCCGCGGCCGCCGTGAGCGAGTCGCGGCCGCGGCACAAATGAAAAGGCCGTGACTCGTCAGCCCGTCACATTACCGCGGAGACGCTCGTGACGATCGATCCGTCGCGCGTCAAGACACATCGCGGCCAACGGCCCCGAGGGCGTGGCCGTGCGACCCCCTCAGTCAGGTGGGATGCACGCACGAGACCAAAAAAAAATAAAATTCCCCATTTTTCAAAAATCAAAGCTGAAAATCAAGACATTTTTGATTTTTACCCGGGGTGGCACGCTGACCGATGAAATATTCACTCGATATATTCGTGAGAACACGAGACCGAGGATGCGATGATGATGATGATGATGATGATGATGGCGAGGCCAAGATGGAGAGGAAAATAAACCAAAGAGCAAAGCAAGCGAGCGATGGAAGGAAACGATGAGAAAGAGGACAAATGAAGGCGCAAAGAGGGTGGGGGGGGGGTCGGGGGGGTGGACGAGTGATGTGGACGGGAGGGGCATAATATAAGCGGGACGAGCCAGACGGGCGAGGAAAAAGACAAACGCTGGCGCTCATCGTCACGCTCTCTCCTTCCATTTTTTTCTCTTCTTCAACGGTGTGACGTGGCGACCACCCCCCCTCACCCCCCCCCCTTCCTCATCCTCCCCAAAAGCAAACGCTTCAGCTTGCGGCAAGACATGAAAGTCACATTGACGCGCCCGTCACGGGACAATCCACGAGGCACACGGCCCCGTGACAACAATTAGCCAGAAAGGGACAAAAGGTTCCGTTTGGGGACCGAGCCTCCCCTCAAAGGTCGAGCGCGCTCCATTCGGTGGCGCTCGTCACTTGGACGGCTTCGCCAAACGGGGCGGGCGGGTTTTCACGCCGCTCGACGGGAAAATAGCTCCAATCCAAACGCGTACACGCGCTCCCATTCACTCCCCATCAACACACGTGCGCGCGTCAACGCCAATCTATTTTGCTCAACTTGGGCCCTCGATGCCGACTTGACTCTTTGCCACCTTGTGCTTCACAGGAGTCCCAAGGATTAGTAGGATGCTGAGTACCTTCCCTCCACGCCAGCCTTCTCCACCCTGCTTTCCATGAGCGGAGAGCGCCAGCGAACGGGAGGAACCGATCACTAGAGACAGCGAGGAAGAGGAGAGGGCCCAAGGCCGGGGAAGGAAGGACTTTTCTTTGTTGTTGTTTTCCTTTTGCGGTTGCAGTCGGTTTCCACATTGGGAAATGGCAGCAACGGAAGCCAGCGCGCCGCCCGCGGTCCAGGAAGATGGCAAGAACCCGGAGGGCAAGCAGACAGAGGCCGAAGAACCCGCCCAGAAATCGGAGACCGTCAACAGCGAGGCGGCGGACAAAGACCGCGCTTCGGTCAACAGCGACGTCATCCCGACCAAAGACGGCGTCCGTCACGACGCGCCGGTTGAGGCGGCGGCGGCGGCGGGCGGCGAAGACGAGGCCGCGGCGGTCGGCGACGAGGCGGAAGCCGCCCGCATCTCGGAGAATCACGAGCACAAGACCTCCTTCCTGGACTCCTTCCTGAACAAGAGCGGGCTGGGCAAGGTGATGTCGGGACGAAAAAAGAAAGAGGCCGCCGCGGGAGCCGGCTCAGAGGACGGCGCCGCCGAAGGCGCCGAGAAAGACCGAGAGAAAACCGCAGACGAACCGGCGCCCGCCGCCAGGGGGGCGGCGGGCGAAGGAGCGAGCGAGGCGGAGGCCGCCGCCGACGAAGCGCCGGAAAACGGAGACGAGGACGACGAGAAGAAGTGCAAAGAATCCAAGTCTTCCGTTCGAGATCTGATCAGGAAGCCGGTGGCCAAGATCTTCTCCCATCGGAGCGCGGACAAGAAGGACGGCAACGCCCCGGAACCTCCCAAACAAGTCAAGGTCCGCTCCAAGTCCCTGGACCGCCTGGAGGACGCCCAAGCGCTCCGCGGGGCCGCCGAGGAGGCCGCCGAGGAGGCGGGAGGCGCCGAGGAGGCGGGAGGCGCCGAGACGGACCCGAAAGCCTCATCGTCTTCGTCGACCGCCACGAAGCACATGAAGCGCTGGCACTCCTTCAAGAAGCTCATGGCTCAGAAAACGCACAAAAGGAGCGGCGGCGGCGGCGGCGGCGCCGAAGACGGCGGCGACGGGGAAGGAGGCGGAGACTCCTCCACGTTGGATTCCAAGGAGTCGGGCCAGAAGAGGTGGAAACTCAAGCGCTCGTGGACATTCCAGGGCCTCAAGAGAGACCCGTCCATGGCGGGCATCAGCGGCAAGGCCAAGAGCTCCGACAAGGACTCGGCCGACAAGCCGGAGGAGGCGCGGGACGCCGATGAAGGCGGCGAGGAGGACGGGGCCGACGGAGGCCACGACGAGGCGGAGGCGAGCGAGGACGACAAGGCCGGCGGGGGAGCCGCCGTCACGCAGCACGCCAACGACATCTGGACCTCCTTCAAGAAGCGCGTCATCCCCAAGTCCAAGCGCGCCAACACGGAGTGCCACCCCGGCGGGGACCAGGACGCCGCCGCCGCCTCAGGTCAGAAACACGCCGAGTGCGATCGGGAGCCGTTTCTCAGTTCGGACGACGGCGGCGCTTGCCGCAAAGGCCGCTCGACCCGCGGCCGGCGGCGTCCGACGTCCGAGGCGCTTCCCTCCTCCGACGCAAATGGTCGGCGTCGTGCGGGGAGCTCGCCGCCGAGCCGATCGCTTGAATGTTGGAGGGGGGAGACACCTGAAATGGGCGGGGGCGGGGCCGCCGTCGGACACCGCCGTTCTTAGCGCCGTTGCCCCGCCCGTAGACGTTTTGTCAGCGCGCCTTTGTCGAGCGCCGCGCGAGTTTGGCGCCGATTCAAGCGACGCGCAGGAATGGTGGGGGGTCTTGAACGTGGCTCGTGTGCTTCAGGCGAGGACGGCGCCGCGGAGGACGGAAAAGACGGAAAGTCCGCCAGGGCCAAGCGTTCCCACTTTGGCCGGGCCGTCTCCCTCAAGAACTTCATCCTGCGCAAAGGCAAGTCCGCCAGCATGGACGCCGGCGATGCCGCCAAGGAGGACGAGGACGAGGCCGCCGCCGCCGCCGCCGCCGCCCAGGCGGGAGACGGCGAAGGAGACCTTCGAGGAGACGGCAAAGTCGACGTCGAAGCCGCCGGCGGAGAAACCGGCGACGACCGGGGCGTCCGGCGGCAGGAAGGCGAGCCCGAGGCGCAGACCGCGCCCGCTCACCCTCCCGTCACCAACGGCGACAACGGCTGCCAGAACGGAACGGCCGAGGACGACGGCCGCAATCACCGAGAGCTCGACGACGGCAACAACCGCAGCCCCGTGACGAAGAGCAAGGAGCCGGCCGCAGCCAAGGAGGAGACCAACGCCAAGGTCCTCAACGCCGCGGCGCCGCCCGTCAACAGCGGTGAGTTGCCGCACCGCCGCCGGAACCGCCGTCAGAACCGCAGCCGGGAAGGAGACGCTCACGGCCGACCGCCGCCGCCGCTAACAAACAGTACCGATGAGCCGAGGGGGGAGGAGGAAGGGGAGCAAGATGAAGACGAGGAGGAGGCGGCGAGGAAGAGAGAGCTGCGTGACGCGGCCGCGGTCATCGTCCGCGGCGCCGTGTCCGCCGCCGCGGACCAATTAGAGCGCGAGCTGAGCCGCGGCGCGCTCAACGGCTGCCGCGCCGCCTCCGGCCGTTAACGAGCTCGCCGGCTAGCACGCTAGCATGCCGCACGCGTACACTTAGCGCGGAGAGTTAGCCCGACTGGGCCGCCCAAAACTGAGCCAAGTGAAACGGCCGATACGCAAACCGGCTTAGCACGGAGAGCTAACTTGACAGGGACCACCCAAAGACGTACAAAAGAGAAGTTGCAAGCGGCAACGTCAGCAAAGTAGTCGGCAACTATTTTTTTCCTTTCAAGAAAAAAAACAAAAAGAGTACACTTGAAACGCACAACTTCCAGACCAAGGGGAAAAAAAAAACCCAACACGATATCCAAGCTAATCTACCGCTCCTCCATTTGGTCCATTTGAGGCGTCGACGCGGAGCGCCCGCGCTGGGGCGGATCGCCGCACATTTTGAGCGCAAACTGATCGGAGCGGCGGGCCAGAGTGTCCTGCGCATCTGTTGAGAAAAAAAACGGAGCTTGTTTGACGCGCAACGGCGATCTCGGTGTTGACGCTCTTCTGTTATCATTCGGCAGACCAAAAGGCGGGAAGCGCGTGAGGCCGCACAAAGAGGATTAGAACTTCGCTGAGCAAGGAGCTCTGAGCACCCTCGCCCCTCACTCCCAACCACAGCCACCCACCACGACACCCAAATCCTCGTTCGTTGCCACCTCCCCCCCCCCCTCACACCCCCCCCCACACCTAAAAGGAGTTATCACAGGTCACCACGGTGACAAAGAGCGAGCGACTGGGAGAGTTGATGTTGATGTAGATGGCAAACCCATCAAAATGGAAGAAATACTCGGAAAGCAATAATTCCCCCCGCCCCCTCCCACGCATTCCATTCCCTCTGCTTGTCTGTTACATTTTATATTGTCTTCAAGAGAAATGAAAAGGTAGGGGGGAAACATGGATTTCAAC